CAACAACACTTGAACTACCATATTTAGGTCTGACGTTCAACCGAGCCCACACAACTAATTGAAATCCGGGGAAAGTCCGCTGAGTGTGACCACGCTGATGGGAAAATCCGAGAATCCTGGTTTCACAAAATATTTACTCATAACCATCCCTAAACAGTCACATGTGCGCTCCGACCCAAGTATCGATGAATTCTCCAACGTAGTGGTGCACATTTGATTTCCTAACTTGTGAGTCCCAAAGTCCCAATACACGTCACACTACTCACAATTATTCAGGAGTCCGGAGGCGACAATTCCTCAAGGACTACAGAACTATCGATGAATTGACCGTTTTTAGCTGACAGAGATTTCTTCGGTTGTTCCACACTCACCCTCGACAGTCAGTTGTATTCCGACTATCACTATTGAGCGCTTGTGCGCCATGGTGATAAAAAGAGCAGCTGGCTGGCATGATCCTGCAATTTGTTGGAATTGTCAAGCGCACCAGGCGATCAGGTGGCTATCCAGACTGGGATTCACGGTAATAAGATAGCAGTAAAGGACTGCAATTTACAACAATGTTAACGGATCACTCCTCCGAATCCAACAACATCTGAACTATCAAATTCAGGGCTGACAGACAGTCGAACCCAGACTACAAAAAGAAATCCAGAAGCAAGTGAAAATCGTGATTCAACAACCATGAAATCGCAAGCTGTAATCCACGCGGAGATTTGTGACTCGCATCAGGGACTAAACAGTTGTGCATTGGTGATACACTCGCCGGTAGAGATTGATCTCACTTGCAACACGAATCGCTGACAATGGTTTCTCGTAACCAACCAGACAAAATACATTTCAGAAACTGTAAGGCATAAACTAACCTGAAACCAATCANTCTGGAGAAACAGCGAGCGGTGCTACGGAATACATTGACAGCTAGGCTGCTTTGTTGAACCACTAAGCTATTTTGATAAACTTTCTGTGACTTCAATATTGAGGCTAAAATGATCTGAAGAAGAGAGTTATGCAATTTATACGAACACTAACCCGTTTCACGTAATGTTTGCTCCAGCTCGAGGGTTTTATGAAAGAAAGGCATATTTCCTTTGTTCTACACTACAATTCCGCCTCCTCTGCACAAAGATCAGAGCAGCCGGGGAGTCTCCAGGAACTATAAATGATATCGAGATGTCAAGCGCAATATTGTTCCAAGTAGACGATAGTCCATTGGCTAAAGTAGCGGGCAAGTGCAACTGGTATACGGACCGTCTGTGGACGTTTCCTGGTCCGTCGATGCGGATACAATAAATGTTCCCGCGAGAGCTCACGTGTCTACACAGCCTGGGTTTCGATCAAAACCCAGGCTCAGATGTTCGCAATAAGTCGATCTAGCACAAATATAAAAGAACCGAGAATACAATCTTACCTAAGCGACTTTGCGATTGACAGCTCAGATAAATTGAACCCGTCTGGATCTTCCGAATTCTTCGGTGGATTATACTACTTGCTTCATTGCAAGCGACTGATGGACAGTGAGAACTCAACACAAAACAAAACACAAAAGTTGTATTTAAACTGGTGAGCCATTTTGCAACCCATCCTGACCACACTCTCATAACACCACTAACGTAGGTCGCACAGGCTCGTAGTTGTTTTCCACGGTTTTGAGGGGAAAACACTGGCCGGTAGCTGGCAAGCGCTCTTCCTTTGACGTGTCCGTCGAACAATAAATCGGAGTACACTGCAGATACGGGTTGTACATTGCATTACGCTTATTTGTCTGCAATTTGTAGATGTCATCACTCAGGAGGGCACCCAGGAATGGGATAAGTGACGACCGAAATAGTCTGTTTGATAGCTTCTCCAAATTCGCCTCTAACCTTAGACTAGTAAGTCGCCAAAACAATTTTTTGAAACCAAACTAAGTGATACGCTGAGTGATAGGCTGAATTAAAAGGTGTCTTCAAACACGCTCTCATCCAATACTAGGTGCCCGGCAGCCGAGGGTGCTCCAAAACGGATGTCCAATTTTGAATTTGCTCACATCATTATTGCCCTCAAAATTTCATATGATTCAACGTACAGCAATAGCAGATTGTAGGTGGGTGGGGTTCTGCGCTCATTTTCGAATGACGTGCGCTTAAACATGTACCTCTGGTGAATATCGGCAGCATCATTTGTTTATATCCCTCTCCCTTGACTGAATATTCCTCACGGAGTGCTAATTGGCCAGCGAGAACGATGTTAAAGATGTAATTTTCTTGAACAAAGCGTTCAGCTTTCACATTGCCTCTCACGTCAGCCTCATCCATGTCTTTAAACAAATTGTAAGATCAAAGTTTTCAATCCGCGGAACACCACGTAAAAGAACAAGCTGTTCTTGCACACAGTGGACACGCTTGGCATTGATGTGTGCTACATCACAGAAACGAGAACTCGAAGTGCAAACGCAGTGATCTAACTAACCGCCCCATCAGTCTCCACTCGCTTCTGGCTACGTACATCTGGTGATCCTGAGGCTGCCGCGGCATGATATGCAGAGTTGCCATTTAGGTAGAATTGTTGGTCGATTGGATGCCCGTTGAGGATTGTCTCTGCGTGGTTCGTCCGGCAAATTTGGTGATGGATTCTCACAGGGGGAATCTAGTCGATATTAGTTTGTTATGTCTGCTTCCGCTTCAACTAACTGCAGCCTTGACGCCTATGATGCCCTGTTGCGGTAAGCCAAAAGCTCTGATGACTTGTGGTTCCCGGAGACGTAAATCCACAAGTGTGGAGGCTTAGCGCATTTGAGATGTAATTAGTTAGTAGACATGGACTGTATTAGGTGTGTGACGACCGCAGGTTGGTTTTATGCAGTACATCATCCGAAATAGCTGAAGTCGGCTGGTCACATGGTGTCCTCCTCGACCAAGGACTCAAACCGATTACGCTTCCACCAGTTGACGATTGCATGGATTAATAATTGACTACTGGTCCTCTTGAAACACATTTCAGCATTCGCTCGTCTGGATTCACTTTTTGTTTTGCTTTCCAGGGCCGCATAAGGTGCGGACAAATGGTTTGGAAACTGAGCAAATGGTAGATCCAGATGGTAAGTAAACTTACCAGAACCGTCTTCTAGAGTCTCTTACAAATGCGCCGCCATCAGGTGCGAGCTCATTCTGAGAGGAGATGCTCACCTTCTTGCATATTGATTGGAATTTGGCCTGTGGCATGACACCACCAGACGCACGCAGTCAGTGGACTCTGTTGGACGCCGAAAGCCAAGGTGGCAGAAGATGCCCAGGAAGCTCGGAATGCCCAAAGATTACTTCGGTCGATCCGCAAAACCGGTGCACGGACGCCACCTGTGAGTTAAGCAATCAAGGATCAGAAAGAAGTGATCATCTTGAATAAAGACAAACGCCTCGACGGTTGGGTGAAATACTTCAAACGACCGCTATTGGTGCCAAAGGTTGCCAAATGTTTGCAGCCCATAGTTAACGTAGAACTCTGAAGGATGAACGTGAGTTCCGCTACGGCCTGTTTGCATGTATTCTGGAAAAGATAGCTGTCCCAGACAGATTTGGAGAATCGGTGATTTTGCCCATTTACAAAAAAGGGGTCTGTAGTGGGCAAGGTTACAACGGGAGAACCACTTAACTCCGGTTGTCATGAGACCGCTGGCGTTAGTTGTGCTTCACCGCCCTATGGTGCACGTGAAACACTCACCGGAGAGCAGCAAGTTGGATTTCCGCCTGCTAGGGTTTGCGTTGACCAAACTTTTACATTTCGTCAGATGCTGAAACAACGCCGTACATACAGGCGACCTATAATGTCGGTGTTCTTGAATTTGCAAGTCGCACATGAACTGGTTGACGGCTCTGTTATCAATGACACGCTCTCTCATCGAGGAATGCCCATGAGGTTCGTAAGCACAAAAAGGCCCTTGTAGTCCCAGACTTCCGGACGTGTATGAGCATACGGAAAGGCTTACAAAAGTATCCGTTTACGAGGCGGCGTGCGAATGGAATTCCTACTCTTTCCATTCCTATTTAACATCGTGTTTAATGAAATCGCGGGACTAACACTAGAAGGCCTTCAAAACCCCGGTATACTAATGGGCTCTGACGTAAACTTTGTTGATCTGGAATTTTTTATCTCGTATGCACTTTGCACCCACAAAGCATAAGGTCATGCTCGTGGACGTGCAGTTACTGAATGCGCCACTTAAAATCCAGGAAGATGTAATTGAAGCTGTGGTGCGTATCTTGGTATCCGTATTAGCTCAGAGTTTAGTGTGACAGACGAGGCCAATGCATAAATCCAAAAGTTCCCATTCGAGGTTGCTAATCTGAGACATCTATGGCGTCAGAATGGTGTATCCCTAAATCTAAAGTGAGTAGCGTATCAGGCTACTTCCATTGGAACTTCCATTGATGGATGTGTCCAGCACCAGCATGTGCGTTGTTTAGGCCATGTTCGATTCGGGGTGGCGGAAGCAGAGAATTAGCTACCCTTGGCCTGGCAGTGGGTCTTGAAAGAGATTACGAAACATTTGGGCGCTGTTCACTTTCCAAGCCGGGGACCGCGTTATCTCCAGTGCCCGCGGTTATGGACGCTGTAAGAAAGACCTGCTGACTAATATGAGTGGCGTTCTTGTTGTCATTTTCTGTCCAGATTGCCTGAATGAGTGTCTCGGGGTGTCTATGACGAACACCAGTTTCTGGGAACGCACTATTCGAATTAATCAGTGATTCATATTCCTCAAACCTGAGCTAGCATTCTCTTAAAGGTGTCACATGCTGTTCCGCAGGATGTCGACGATTCCGCGCTGTGATCGGCCGGCGTGTGTGAAGCTGCTGTTTGTAGATAGGACGGGTTAATTGTGGAAGAGAAATGCGTTTGGAAATCCATCGGGTTCCTAGAAATACTTGCCGCAACCAGACGGTTATTACACGGCTTACTATGGCGTAGGCCACCAAAGGTTCCATTCTCTGTTACCCGAAAACTGCACTGATTTGCAACGTGTTAAGTCACCCCTCTAACGCCAAGCTGATGGAATGTTCCGCCATTTGTAGATGCAAAATGGGCTGTGAAGGTAACCGAAAGAAAAGGTAGTCGAAAGTTTAAAGCTACACCACAAACTGCAGGCGCCTCAAAACGCGATTCTGGAGGTTTCAATTCCGTCAGAGAATGCTTATGCACCGTGGATGGATTCCAGAAACAGTAATGCCATTGTGCCACAAGAAACAGTTTTGAATTCAAAGCCTAACTGTCCTGGAATTTATACATTTTGGATTCTATGAACATGTGTTAAATAATTCTCGTATATCTTGTTTTTTAAAGTAGCAAACATTAATTACTGCTGCTTCAGAAACTCTACTCCACCATAAAGTATGCCTACAACATGTGTGAACATATATATGGACGGCGTTTCACATCAGTGATCATTGTTTCGTGCACAGCGGCTAATCCAACGCCGTATCAGTAGTCAGTAAATAGCAAGGGAGAATGAAATCAATCACATGACTGGACCCGCGTTTTTGAAGGTCTGTCACACGAGCCATACAAATAATCGATGTTTTGTTTAGACGAGTGAAATAATTCACATGACTGGACGCCTCATCTGAGGATTTGTCAATCGAACGGTCCATCAACACGTGACCACGCGATGCGCCTCCAATGTTTTGACGACGACTAGCGGCATGCATGATACGTAGAATATTTTATTCTGGGAGCCTAATTGCTGAATGATTTCAGACAAACGATGGAAAAATCGCCAAGTTTGTGTCCACAGACCGAGCGCGTTTGACTGGGTACATAGACCACGTATATAAAAAATTAGCGCTGAAGTCACCGTCAGATGACG